GAAAAGCTGCCCTCCTCAAAAAAAAAAAAATTCAGAAATAAAACAAGGTCATCGGTTTAGCAACAAAAGTGTTAAAAATGACTATGCTATTCATGCTATTACAAAGTCGAATATTCATAATCAAACATAGAGCTCACCCATTGCAGTTGAAACACAAAGGCTTTGATCTGATTGTGGAATTCACCGAGTTTTTCTTCTTTAACATCGTTGTACATCTGGGCTATTTCGGTCATAATCTCGTCCTGAAATCTATTCCACTAACCGAAAAAAAGGTTGACTAGCTGTTTGAGCACTCTTACCTTGTTTGTCACAAGTGGCCAGCTATCCGGGACAGCAAGGGGTAAAGTAAGTCTCCCATGCGCCGTGCTCACATCACTCCTATAAACCAAGGCATCATAATTAGAAAAGGCAGATCGAGCAGACTCCAAACCCACCATTTACTGACACTCTCAACCTTCCCCGATTTCTTTGGCCTGCCGCGACGCCTTTTTTCCGTAACCATAGTACTAGAAAAGTGTGGAAAAACGAGATACACATTTAATATTGAATTTCACACCTAGATACATCTCTCCGTGAGCTTTCTGAGGGAGAGGCACTCTCTTTCTCAATTCCATTATCCATCTTCTCTTTCTTGTCAGTTTTCTGGCTAGAACATTTTATTTTGACGAAATTAATTGTCCGCTAATTTTGCACCTAATTTCGAGTATCTCAAGCTATCCAACGTCTTTTTCAAAAAGCAAAAGATTAGTTCCTCAAAATATCTGAGAAAAGGGAGAAGGGAGTATTCTTTACTCGAAGTCTAATCACATATAGCGGCTCTCAACACTAGTAGCTAACCATATCTAAAAATTACTTTAAAAGACTTACGCAGACGCTGTGTGACTTTTTGGTGGCCTTCCTCTTTTTTTGGGATTGCTAAACAAATTTGTACACTTTTGGTTAGTCGAAAAAGTAACAATTTTGAAGGATCAAAACAATAAGATTTGAGCAGGAAGTACTTACTTGTAAGACGTTATTTTTTGCAGAACAAAAAAAGCGATTAAAAAACTTACACATTCTTTTGAGACTTTGGTGGTCTTCCACGGCGCTTCCCACTGAAAACAGTACAGTTGGAACAGAGATTTGGAAACAAGAAGAGTATCAGATCCACAAATATGCTAAGAGCTCAAAAAATTGAGCACTTTTCTAAAAATGCTTGTTATATTGAAAATTAATAATGTATCGGAATGGACTTGCAAGAGACCCCTTTAGCTGTAACGAGAGTAGAGGCGTCAGAAAAAAAAAAACAGCACACATACCTAGGAAATGTTGAAGGCGTTTTTGGTGACATTTTAGGGGATTTTACGGCGGGCATTTCAACGTCGCTACCATCAGAAGCACTGAAAAATTCAATATTTACAACATGCAATACAATTAAACCTAACTGACGAAGACATCGGTCATGAATATCAGTTGACTAAAAAAGTATTTCATACTCCGAATATTCTGTGTACGAGTAAGCTGATGGACGACGTCGTTTCTGCGATGATGGGGATGACATAGATGAGATCTCTTCGTCATTGGGAGATTGAGATTCTTTGCTGCTCGCCATTGCAGCAAGTTCAGCTTTTGACTTTCTGCCACGCTTTTTGTGTGGACGAGATCCATCAGCACTAACATTAACCTCTTTCCTAAAAAGATGACATGTACTTATACAAATGGAAAAAAAAACTACATTTTCTTCTAACTACTTCTATAAATTACAAACATTACAACTTATACACATACAGCGATGTTTCTCCCGAATGTGCAGCAAGTTTTCGATCTTTCTTAGGAGGT